TTAATTGCTCTTGATTTACTTGCTGTTCTTGTTGTTGTTGTTGTTGTTGTTGTTGTTGTTGTTGTAACTGTTGCTCTTGTTGTAGCTGCTGCACCTGTTGTTGCTGGTGTAGCGGATGCTCTTGCTGTTGATGCTGCTGCAAAATATATAAAGAAACAATGCATCATTCAATTATACAATATTTTCACTTATGAAATCTTTCTATTTAAAAATTTCTCTACCGTATTAAGAATCAAAGAAGCTGCTTCCAACTTCCGAATTATTCGACCTTTTGCCATAATATTAACCCACTATTCGGTCAAGTTGTAATATAGAACTGCTGGACATCATTAGATTGAAAATGCAGATCACAAACGTACTGTTTTATTTTAAATCTGTTGACAGTCATTCACTTCACATACTATTACCATATTTAAATTATTTTCGAAACTTTTTATTTACCATTTATAAAAACAAATTGTAATAATTATTGACTTGACTTCTAGTTTTTAGGTTAGTATACCTCCCCGCTCCCCAATATATCTATTAAACTCAATATAAATAAAATAAAATTGGTTATTTGCTTACTTCACTCGTATTTATGAAGCTACATTCATTTGGGTCATATGGAACACTAGCGCCACCTCAACTTCTGCCATTTCTTGGACAAATTTTGTCAATTTTTCCGTATGAGTTCGTGCTCCTTATCTAGTCTCCATGCGTCGACCTCTGGGTTAGTAGTCAAATACGTAAACTTCTATACCACGAGGGACACCCGTAAGGTATTTCTTACTAAGGCTTATATACGACAATTAATTTTTTTTTTTATGCGCATACAAATATTTTCATTTCTAGTGATATTTAAAAGCCAAAAAGCCAAAAATCTCCGTGGATATACGATTCACCCAAACCAAAACAGATACCGCCTGATCTATTACTCGCACTCAGTATTTTCAATACTTACTGAGTGCAAACACATCGAAGTTCTTCGAAATATGCAGGATCTCCCTAAAGGGTCTTTACAACCCTCACCATATACAGTGCGGCTAAAAATAATTCGATTTAGCTAAACTTACCTTAGCTCAAAGTTGCTCCGTTTGGGCGGTATACGGCCCTAAAGTTGCAATTTTGAAATCGTTTTTTTTTTTTTAAAAAAACGCCTTATGTAATTTTGAGAAAATTTGGTAAGTCGACACCGCTCTATAGGACAATATCATTCATATCAAAATTATGAGTTACATCAATCCATTGGCGTAGAACTTGGGTTTTTTAGTAATTACACCTTCCACAAATCCACGCCAATGGAAGGAAATAATTTTAAGTATAACATTTAAATGAAGTAAATTATTTACTAGGAAAAAGGTACTCTTGATAAAACTCGATTACTCTCTTGGTTTATTCGAAATTTATAATTTTAATCAGTGGTAGCAGTTTTGACACAAAAATTAAATTAGGAAAAAATTATTTACAGTTTAGTCCAATCAAATGGTTATTTAAATCGCAGTTTTGCTCAATTTGCCTGAATTTTTTATGCATATACCTTAGTTGAGGTACCTATACAGGGTGTTACGAAATTCGCGGACACAGACTGTGGGATCATATTAAGCTAGATAAGGTGATTTTTCAATCAGACCAGTATTTTTTGAGATATAGCAGTATCAAAATCCAAAAATAATAAAAATATTTATATTTATAAATTACTACAAACGAGTTACAATAATTGTTCAAAATTTCCACGGTCTGTTGTTAAACATGCTTCAGCATGTTGTGCTACTGCTCGAATGGAGATGCGTATCACCTCTGGTGTTATTTGCTGTATTGATTGAAATAGGCGGTTCTGCAATTTATTCAAATTTGCCACTGGTGTTCTGTACACCAACGTTTTTAGGAAGCCCCAAAAGAAAAAATCACATGGCGTTAGGTCTGGAGAACGAGGTGGCCAAGCAAATGGACCGCCTCTGCCAAGCTAACGTTCAGGAAAAGTATTATTTAGGTAATCACTAATCACAACGTGCTGAATCATGTATAGCAGCAGACGGTGGAAATTCGTTTGTCATAATTGTTTATCAAATGATTAGAAATTGAAAATTTTTATTATTAAGAGATAAAATAAAGGAGTTTTTCAACATAACTCAAAAGGGACAAGAGCTAGAAAGTTGTAGAGCATAAAATTCTACATAAAAATGTTCAATTGATTTTTTTTATACTATTAAAATTAACAGAGTTAGGGAGACTAGAAGTTTAGGGATGATTTCAGAGATTTAAAAAAGGAGAAAAATGAATTAATTTTATTTTTTTTTCGATCTGCTCTAAAAAATGTAAACTATCTTTTCAGAGAAATAGATATATTTTTAATAAAAAAGGTAGGATAACAATTTCACAAAGATTTTTTATCTTTGACGTATAACAAAATTTCGAAAGCATCTTTTCATTATTTTAAATAATCAATCGAATGACAGAAAAAATTGTTTTGGTGTTTAAATCATAAAAATTAACAATTACAAAAATTGGAATTGTTATAACTTTTTTATTAAAACTTAAAAAATATATCTATTTCTCTGAAAAGGTAGTTTACATTTTTTAGAGTAGATTGAAAAAAAAATTATAAAATTCATTCATTTTTCTGCTTGTTTAGATTTTTTTTTCTGAAATCATCCCTTAACTTCTAGCCACTCTAACTCTGTTAATTGTAATAGTTCAAGAAAAAGTCAATAGATCCATTTTTATGTAGAATTTTATGCTCTACAATTTTTATAAGAAATGTTTTTTTTTCTAGCTCATTCCCCTTTTGCGTTATCTTGAAAAACCTCTTTATTTTATCTATTTACATCCCTGGCCGGGGGTTCAAAAAAAATTACTGTCATTTATTGTTATTATATACTTATATAAAAAATTCAGGCAAATTGACCAAAATTGCGATTTGCCCATTTATTTGCCCTTTAGGCCCATTTAATTATCGTACTAAATTGTAAATATTTATTTTCCTAATCTAGTTTTTGTGTTAAAATTGCTCCTAACGATTAAAATTACAAATTTCAAATAAACCATGAGTGTAGTCGAGTCTTATCAAGACTACCTTTTTCGTAGTAAATAATTTACTTCATATAAATTTTATACTTAAAATTATTTCCTTCCCTTGGCGTAGAATTGTAGAAGTAGACCAAGCAAATTAAATTTTTACTCGAAAAAAGTCCTATCCGCTAGATTATTGTAAAATTGTCTAAAGGAACATAATACAAGACATCTCTCGTCCCGTGAGTCAAAAACTTTTATTAGCTAACTTTTCTATTTAAACAAATAAGTGAGGAAAACAGTTTTTTCACTTTGCAGGGAAAACCATCAATTTTAGCGAAAAGTGACTCTCAGACAGCTTATAGGGAGTAAAATTATCTACAAAATGAG